ATTCTGTGTTTTTCTGTCAATATGGGGTGCTGTGTGTACATTAATGAGGAAAAAAATGAACTTAAATGATTTTAGCATATGGCTGCAATATAACAAAGAGTGAAAAATTTAAGGGGGTCTGAATACTTTCCATACCCACTGTATTTGCCAAAGTAACGGTAATATTATGACAATTTAGCAATATTTCACATAAGTATTACATAAGGGTGGTAACATTTTATACTGCATTTTTTATGACAGTTTATTTTTAATTGCTTAATTTTTATTTGGATTACTTTCTTGAACATACAGTGTATACTAGACTCTACATTAGTTACAATACTTCACTTTATTTAGTTCAAATTGTCACATACCAGTATGGGGGAAATGCAGAATTGTGGGAACACCTCACAAGTTTTCATGTTATCCACAAACTTGTGAAACATTTCTATAGTTTTTTCCATTTCTTGTGCAATTTTAGCTAAAGAAAAAGAAACACCTCATTAATCTCAGTGTGCAAATCCTCATCTTTGTACTTTAGACTTTTACAGAACTCGTCTCCCCCTTGTCTTTGGATGAACACAATGTTTTTACCTCATACTTGTTAATAAAAATAAACCATTAAAAAAAAACATCATGATCTGAAAAAATAGAAATTTGATAACACACCTGCCCACGAAAAAAAACTCTGTGAGAGGTGTGTCAGACATTTTGTCTTTACTGATGAGCAAACCCACTCTTCATCTGCCAGCTTATTTTCTGTTGTTGTTTCGGGAAATGTGCAGTAGCAGTACGTGAGGTGCGGACAAATAGTTACCTTTAGGAAGGTGGTGTTGGTTGGATCCAATTTGGAGTTGCACTCAACCTTGAAGACAAAAAAGGAGGTTCAGTAACATGTAACATAAAACTTGATAACATCATAGAGAGTTGAAGATGTCCAGGGTTTAGACAGCAACTGTAGATTTACTGTACATATAGTCTATATTATGGAGACTATATTAGTGAGTGAGTGACCCAGATACTGCAGTGTTGCTGCAGAGATGAGTCACTCCAGCAGGCTGAGAACACAGTCGCAGTGCTAACACATACACAGCTGATAAGTGTGAACAGATACAAATATACATGATGCATGGGCACTTAAAGTCTTGGACACACACAAACACAACTGCTGAAAAACCTCTCACAAGCATCATGCAAACACAGACCATGTTTTCGCTCTCTGCTGCTTCCTGCTGTCTTTAATTTTTAATCCTTTACTCAGATTGCCAAATTACATATTTTACTGCCAGCATTGTTAAATATGAAAAACAAAGCGATACATCACTACAAATGAAATGCATGTACCTCTCTGCTTCCTACTGACTAAATGTTTTCTTTCTTATAATTAACTGCTGCATGTGTAGATACATTTTCAGATAATTACAAATCACTTGCAAACAAGGAGTAGGATATTGTTGTCTCAAATGTAGCCATCTCTGAACAAATTCCAATTATCTGTTCTTCTGTTCACTCCATATAGGAGGATGTAAGTGGGAGCAAACGCAGCAGCCTCAACTAGTCATATTATGGGATATGAAATGTTAGCATGGCCTTCATCTGTCACAACGAGTAAAGCAAACTTTTTTTTTGTTTTTACAGCTCTTGGTTCCTCACACTGGTCCCCTCACCCCTCTGTCACACTCCATCACTCCCTCTTTCCAAGAGGTTTTAGAATAACATCCATTCCCACCCTCCCTCCACACCTCTGTCCCTTTCCTCCTCCGCCTCCATCTGACAGAGGCCTGGTTTGATGTAAATCAAACATGAGGCAAATTAACTGGTGGAGAAGCTTAATCTGGGCCACTGCAAGCTAGGAGCCCATAGGGATTCAGCAGGGTTGTAGAGAGAGTGAACCAGGTCTCTTTTCCTGATCATGCGGTCACTAACAGGATTTACATCTGAAGTATAAAATGCAGACAAGAAAAAGAATCGGATGAAGGAGGGTTCCCTATTTAGAACTTTTGATGGACTAATTATAAACTGCTAAAAAAAAAGAAAAAAATTAAGGGAACACTTTATTATTAGTCAGTTAAGACTCAGGGACATCAATCTGTCTATTTAGGGAGCACAAGTGGTTGTAAAGCGGTTTCACCTGCTTTGGTGCAAATGAAAGTGACAATGGGTGCATTGGAGAGGCAAAAGCAAGACAACCCCCAGAAAAGGAATGGTTTTGCATATGGTGGTCACAGACAAATGCTCTCTCCTTATTCTTCCTGAGTGATTCTTCTCAGGTTTTGTGTTTTGCTAGTGTCCTTGTCACTACTGGTAGCAGGAGACAGTACCTGCAGCCCAATCTGGTTGCACAGGGAGTCCAGTTACTCCAAGATGGCACATCCATACACGGATTCACAAGAAGGTTTACTGTGTCTCCCAGCACAGTCTGAAGAGCATGGGGGAGATACCAGGAGAGCGGCTGTTACACCTGGAGAACTGGAAAGGGCCGTAGAAGGGAAACAACTCAGAAGCAGGACCGGTATCTGCTCCTTTGTGTAAGGAGAAACAGGAGGAGCACTGAAAGATCCCTACAGAATGACCTCCAACAGCTACTGGTGTGCATGTTTCTGACCAAGCTGTCAAAAACAGACTCCATGAGGGTGGCATGAGGGCCCCACATACTCTAGTAAGACCTGGGCTCATAGCCCAGCACCATGCAACTCGGTTGGCATATCCCAGAGAACACCAGAATTGACAGGTCCACCTCTGGTGCCCACTTCTCTTTACAGATGAGAGCAGGTTCATACTGAGCACATGTGACAGGTGTGAGGGAGTCTGGAAATGCCATGGTGAACGTTATGCTGTCTGTAACATCATCAAGCATGACCGGTTTGGTGGTGAGTCACCGGATATTTGGGGAGGCATTTGACTGGCCCTCACATTCCCCTGACCTAAATCCAATTGAGCACCTATGGGACATTATGTATTGGCTCATCTGATGCCAGCAAGTACCACCACAGACTGACCAGGAGCTGACTGATGCCCTGATGCAGGTCTGGGAGGAGATCCCCCATGACATCATCCGCTGACTCATCAGGAGCAGCCCAGACATTGTCAGCAGCACATACAGGCACACGAGGTCATACACACTTCTGAGTCACATTATGAGTTACTGTGATGAAATTCACACAACCTGGATCAATCTGTGATTTCAATATTTCTCTTTGATTTCCAGTGTGATTTTGAATCCAGCCCTCCATGGGTTGATGAGTTTAGTTTCCACTGACTGTTGTTATGTCATTTTGTTCTGAACAAATTATGCAATCGAGGAAACATGTTTTACAGACATGACACATCCTTTAATCTGAACCTTCATTTGAAGTGACTGATCGCCAACTGATTTCTGATAAAGGGGTGCGTCTGTTCATTAAAAACTTCCATGAAGGATACTCTTTTGTATTCTCCCTCATGGCTCTTCCAGGGAACCTCCTCACCCCTCAGAACCGATATAAGATTCTTTGGACGTTCTTAATTCTTGCTCAGCCGGAACAGCTTCTGGGATGAATAACCATCAAGGAAGATGTGCCCAAAGAAATACAAAAGAAAGACAGATGATAAGACTCACCACTCCTTCCTCAGCAGGGGCGTTGTCTCCTACAACCAGCATCACAGGACATCTAGAGGTAAACAGCATTCACAATAAATATTTAAATCAAAAAACTGAGGTGGCTGGATTTAAATTTGATTAATAATTTTGGGCATAATTAAAATTTTAGGGCTTTTTTTACTATTTATATAACTGATAGGAATTTAATATTAACTTTTTTCATCGATTAATTATTTTAGTCTAGAAAATTCACAAAACATTAATACATGACCAGCACGGTTTCCTACAGTCCAAGGTGAGGTCTTCAAATAACTTGTTCTGCCCAAACCTTAGTTCAAATCAATTCCATTTGGATTGATAATAATAATCACATTTTACATTTGTGAAGATGAAAAAGTATGATTTTGGTGTTTTATTCCATAATAAGCAATTTAAACAAGCAATTGTACTGACTTATGCTTATAATAATTTATGGAGAGAACTTTTTTATGTTTTATCCAAAGGTTACACAGTGAGAAGTAATCTTTTCTTCAAATGACTTCTTCAGTGTTACTTAACACAGAAGCACAGCAGTCTCCCAGTTAATCAATTTCAATTATTTCAACTTTATTTCCAAGAAATCATGTTTTGTCGCTTTAGCCATGAGCCTCAGGCTTAGCTGCTATATTGAAGAAGCTGGTCAAGACAAAAATTAGAATGGCAGGGAATTCAAAACCTGGGTCACAGCTGCCGAACACTGTCAAATTGACCCAGAAATTAAAAGTGAACTGATTTAAGCTGCAGCTTATGAATTTGTTTTCTCAGTGGTCTCAGAGTGACTCATGTAATGTTTTCATGAAGGGGACTTTTACTTCAATACCAGTCACACACTTTGTGACTATTTATTCTTTCAGAAACATAAACCTCAGTCATGTCTTACTTACGACCTTATACAAGTTGAATCATAGTTGTGCACACAATTTTATGATAAAAACTGTGGACTTACTTCAGGGTCTTGGCATTGAGCACTGTCCCACTGCGGTTCATCTCCAGATCCCTCCGACTGAAACACACCAGTCACCATGAATGGTAAGATGAAGTGCTTGTGTGTTCAAGTTTGTGTTTATGGGTGTGTTCATGTTTCTCCACCTGTTGTACATGTTCCAGAAGAGCTGCAGGTTGAACTGGTTGATGTTGCTGCCAATCTGTTGCCTGTAGCTCTGCACTAACTCTGTGTTGTTTACCAGTTCCTCCTGCACACACACACACACACACACACACACACACACACACACACACACACACACGCACACAAACTGGGTTTATAATAGGACTTACCAAATAATTGCCAATAAAAATACATTAAAAAAAGCACAGCATATTTCTTTGTTGAGAATTAGACGTCATTTTTCTCATCCCAAATTCTCTATTTTCAGGAAGAAAATGGAATACTAACTGAAAAACAATTACTGTCCCAGACCATGAGCATACCTGGCTGAAAAGATGTGGCAGCACAGTATCTGGCAGAGTGCTGGTCAGGCCTGACAGCTGGGAGAAAAGACAGGGAGAAAAAAGGGGAGGTTTGGTTTTGAAAACTTGTGTTTACCCATTCAAACCACTACAGTACCACATGTACCTTACTGGCAGCCCAGTCAATCCACCCTTTGCCATTGGGGTCGATGTTGAGCAGAACCAAACCCTCCACCAGATCAGGGAAGATTAGCTGAAAGCAGAAGACACAGAAACTGATTTAAATTTGTTCTGAGATTCAAAACACATAAACCCTGAATATTGTATGTTTATCCAGTACTAGGTAATCTGGGTATAGTACAGTACAGGGCTGAGTAGAAAAATTTGAAACTGGCTTACAGCAAACTTGGCCAGAATGTATGCTCCAGCTCCAACTCCAATCCCAACAATGCTCTTGAATCTACACAAATGGACACAAGAATTATGACAGGATGCTAAAACAATCTGGTGTGATTATACAATGTTGTAGAATGGTATGGTTTGCAGCATAGATTGAAATTCATGCTTGTACAAATGATGTACATCTCACTTGTGGCTGGAACTGCATGTTCAGGCTAAAATTACATCCTGCTGGAAAGAAATGCCTTCACACTTCTATTTCCTACTCTGCAATCAACAGAGACTGCTCAGGCACAAGAGACTGGTTACCAGATTCATCTTGATCCTGAGGCTGCACTGTGCTTAATGTGTTAGTCAGAACCGAACAAAAAACAGTGACTCTTATGAATTTCCAGGTTTTCTTTGATTTTATTTCATAAATCAGAGCTTCATTTTTTTCTGTCTTCTGTAATTAACTGAGCATTTTGAATGTGCTAAAATATTTAAAAGCATCGGTAGAAGTCAGACAATTGAATTGATACCAATGCTGATTTTCCATCTAAAACAAGAGAGGCAGATGTAACAGTGTTTGCAGCAACAAAAAAGATTGTTCCTTTGCCAGCCTGTAGAGACAAAATAGGCTATTATGCTCCTGCACATGGCTGTCACGTGTAATATTGCCTGTGTAAGAATAAATGTAGAATATGTGAAATGTAAAGCAAAGAGCACCAACCCGAACTGCTGCACCACAGTGGGCAGCATCCCAGCCAGCTGGTCCATAGTGGGGTACTGGTACCTGTGGAGAGGAAGGCCATAACTCCTTGAGCATCATCTCAGGTTCACATGCTGTGTGTGAGACCACTACATTGAAATAGTGTGTATTTACTGTATAATCATAAGTTATTCAAATCCTTTACTCTAAACTGAGTGAACTGAGGTAATAATATTAACCGCAGAAGTAATTGTTCATCAGTAGTCTGATCCCCTGACCACCAGACAATTAACAATAAATCCTTGTGTATTAGTCTATTATCAAATACATCCCTGGTCAACTGTGTGCATTTTTCTTGCGTGTGCGTTTATACCCCTGGGGCAACTGTGCAGCTCCATTATGCTGTCCTGGGGCATCGACATGGCAAACCACAAAGTGCTTGGTGATCTCCTGCATATCGCCATTACTAAAGAAAGTGTTGAAGCACAGCTTGTCTGTGGGAGAAAGAGCGAGGAGAGAAATTAAGTTGAGGTAGCATAAGGTGAGAGGACAGAGGGACAGGGTGGAAGACAGAACGTGGTACAGGACATGAGCAAAAAAGAGGAAGACACCAAAGAGCAGCGAGGAGAGGAGAGGACAGGATGGAGGGATGAGAGCAGAGGAATGTGATCACATTAAATATGCATCACTCTCACGGAGAACATTAAAGGTGGCCATCTGTACAACTGATCCTGTGCCAGCAAGGAGAAGGCAAAGACTTCCAACAAATCCAATATGTCATACAACCCTAATTCACTTCCCTTTTTAAAAGAGAACTGATTCCATGAATTACTCTAAAATGTGGCATTTTTTGATATGCAAATATGAACTACAGAAATGCATTTCCTGTCAAAAATGCATGTGGATGCTAATAAAACCTGAAAGATCGTCCTAAAAATGCCTGAAATCAATTGCTGAAACAGCTGAAAGATGAGAAGAAATAGCTGAAGTTCTTTGTTGAAACAGTTGAGAATAATCTGAAGGATGAGATGCAATAAAGTAGGAATGGCCTTGAAGAGCTGAACATTTTGATACCTGAGTGGCTTTTCTAGCTGAAGGTATGCTGAACTTATTAAGATGTGAAAATAGTCCAATAGGACTGTTAGAAATTAACCCAATTCTTTTGTTGGAAGCATGAGAAGTGAAGACAGGAGAGGACTGTTTAAAATCAACAGAAAGTTTACTGAAAGTCTGATCACAGGTAGGTCTTACAGCGCTGGATTCAGAGAGGCAGAGCTCCCACAGGAAAACCGGCTTCTGAATCCTGAATTAAGTTTTTACAACACATTTATCTTCTTAGCCTGCTCCGCCCTGGACAGGGGTGCAACCTTCAATAGTTTGTGATCCTAATGGTCATTTGGTGTGAGTAGGTCAACCCCTGCCTGGGCTTGCTTGCTGATATGTGATCTAGACCAGGTGTGTGTCTGTGTGCATGTGTGTGT